CCGGTGGAGTGCTTGGTGGTGGCTGTTGCTGTCATCAGCCTTTATTACATCCTCTGTGGCCGCAGGGTGGTGGACCGCTGCCCCCGCCGGGCATGTAGAGTTCACCTTCGGCCGGTCACTCCTGGCCCCGGTCCTGCTAACCTCTGGCAGGCTGTGGTCTCTGAAATCTGAGTGAGGTGCCCGGCCGGGCTCTTCCTCCCGTTGTCACCGGCAGCTGGCTGGCGGCCCCACCGAGGCCCGCCCGGGTCAATGCTGCCTTTCAGGGCGGCGGGCAAGGCCAGCTTTCAGCGCTCCGGAAAACGGTCCCCACCCAGGCCTCTTCCACCTTCAGGAGAAAATACCTCTTTTCAGGAAATCCCGGACGAGGTGACAGGCGGCCTTGTTCACCAGCTCTCCGGGGGAACGGTGGATGATTGGAGGGTGGCCTTTGTCAGCTCAGCAGGGTCGAGGGGGTTGCCTTGGTCGCCGGGCCCAGCCCTGGCCGCCCCCTAAGTGCACAGCCGTCTTTAAAGGAGCAGAGCTGGCCTGGCTCTCTTGTGGGCTGGACGGGAGGGAGGGCATCGCCCGGAGAGGAGGAAGTCGGCCACACGAGAAATGAGGGGGCGTGTGAGAGTGTGTGAGCTAGTGTATGTGCGAAGTGTGAGTGTGTGAGTGTGCGTTTGTGTGTGAGAGAGTGTGGATGAGAGAAAGCAAGCAAGTGCTTGGTTGCTAGGTTGGTGGATTTCTAAAGTGTCGAAATCGAGGGTCAGGCTGGCCCCGTGGGCAGTGGTTAAGCACCGTAGGGAGGGTGTCAGGTCCCGCACGGCTGACCCTGTTCACACCCTGGCCTCAGGGGCTTGAAGCACATGCCAGGCACATGTGTGAGCGTGCCCACACGCGACCGGGTGGAGAAGCAGAGGGAAGACCGTGCCCCGTGGGGGCTTCTCACTCGCTCTCTGGTGCGTTTGCCATCTGGTAATTGAAAAAAAAAAATGGAGTTTGGAGGAGAGGACCCCCCGACGGGAGGGCCCAGTGGGAGTAGGAGAGGGCGGGCCCTGAGAGTGGCCCCACGGGAGACTCCTTTCCCTGAACTGGGCTCCCGGCCAGATCTGGGAGTTTTCCTAGACTCTGGCTTAGCAGGAGGTTTTTTTTTTTTTTTTTTTTTTTTTTTTTTTAAGTTTGTTTATTTATTCAGAGAGAGAGAGAGACTGACTGACTGACCCCCGACAGGGCTTTCATACTGTGATGTACCCCACCTTCAGCAGGCTGGGGTCAGCCACCCCTGTGCGTCTGTTACGAGGAGGCCTGCGACAAACCCAGGACCGTCCCCCGTGCTCCAGCTTTACAGAAGGTGCCGCCTCCTGGCCCTTAGATGGGACTTGGATGGGGGGGTGTGCGCTGGGGAAGTGGGATTGGGGCATCCCCCGCTCCCGTGGGGGCCCTCTGCCGACCCCTCACCTGTAGTGATGAGAACTCTGGGTGCTGTAGACCAGCCGAGGGGGAGACGTCACCAGGCGTAGGCCGTGTGGGCTGGCTGGGGAGGACCAGGGGACGTGGCAGCTCACTCAGGGAGACCATCACCTGAATGCGCAGATGAACACAGTGGCCTGTTCACATCGTCCCTCGCCTCACTTCCTGCTGGACTTGGGCGCCCCCACACCCCGTGATCTGCTGCCTCATCCCAGCAGAGGCTGTTTGTCAAGTGAGGCCTTGACCGGCCAGGGAGGGGCCTCCCATCCCAGTGCATGGGGCCGGGGCACACTGGCCTGGTGTTGGCTCTGGTCACAGAGGCCTGAGTCCTGGAGACAAAAGGGAGACTTGTACAGACCCAGACCCCTTGGAACTGGGGGTGCCACTCCCTATCGAGCCCCAGCCCCTCCCTGAGCTGGGGCTTGGTCACGCATTGCTCCTGGGGACGTACGTGCAGGTGGCAATTTGTGAGGGAGTGTGCGTGCTCATCCAGAGGGAGCTAGACTCCCAGAAATACTGGGCCACTGGACTGGCCCCTGGCCTAGCGGTTAAGGCAGCCGAATCTCACATGGCTGACATGGGTTTGAGTCCCACACCCATGGGCCTGAAAAATACACTGGACGTGTGTATGTGCATGCCCAAAATCCCCCAAAGAGGGAGAAATGCAGGCGAAGGCACTTGGGTGTGACCGTCCTTCGTGGGGGGTGTAGCTCTCTCTGGCGAGCCCGCGTGCCTCCAAATAAAACGAAGAGGTCCATTGTTTCTGGTGGAGTCAGATCTCAGCGTCGCCACATGGGCTGAGAGTGGAGTGTGATCCGTGGCGTCCTTGGGCAGGCTCCACGGTGGAGACCGTATTCACGGTCCTCAGGGCCACGGAACCCGTTTTCCCTGCACATCGCCGTGGGTGGCCGCTCAGTCCCAGATGAGTTCCCCACCCCAGGATCCCATATGGCATCGCGACATGGGCGGAGCTCCCAGCTGCATCCCTGGGCTGCCCGGCTCACGGAGGGAGCTGTGCGTCTCCCTCCCGCCCCCAGACACGACGGCTGCCAGCACCATGTGTGCGGCCTTCTCCCTTTCCTGTCTGAGTCATGCTAAATACACACTACGTTCCATGGATCCTCTCGGCCACTTTGTGCATTCCATGTTAGCATGCGTGTGCAGTTCAGTGGCATTAAATGAAGTCCCAGACTGTGGAACCATCACCCCTCTCCGTAGACGATGTTTTCACCGGCCCCAACTAAAACTTGGTACCCACTTAGTAACCCCGCCCCCTCTCCGCAGCCCCGGTAGCCTCTGTTCCGCTCTCTGTTCTTGTGAATTTGACACATCATCTGTCCTTTTGCATCTGGCTTATTCAGCACAATGCCTTCAGGGCTTACCCATGTTGTAGCACATGCCTGAATTTCCTTTTTACGGCCGAGTAATATTCCACTGCACACACAGATCCTATTTTGTTTATTTGGTCATCTGCTGATAGTCATGTGCTCGCTCCTGCCTTTGGCTACCGTGAATGAAACTGCTGCGAACTTGGGTGTACACATACCCGCCTTTGCACCTGCCTTCAGTCATCCTGAGGGTGTACACGTACCTGCCTTCGCACCTGCCTTCAGTCATCCTGAGTGTGTGCACGTGCCTGCCTTCACCTGCCTTCAGTCATCCTGAAGGTGTGCTTCTGAGCAGGACCGCAGAATCTTCCAGTGAGGCCGTGTGTAGCCTTCAGAGAGACTCGGAGCTGTTTCCTCGGCGGGTGCACGTCTCGCTTGCCCACCAGCGGTGCACAGGGGCCTCGTGCCTTCGGATCCTCATCAGCACTTACTCCTTTCTGTTTTGCGATGGTAGCCGTTCTACCAGGTGTGAAATTCCCTCGCTCTCTTTTTAATCACATAAACAGTTGTTGCGCCTGGGTGACCTACACTAAGGAAGCAGCCGTACTTGGTGGTTACTTAAAGCCCTTTTCATTCCACCCTTTTCCCCCTTTTAAAAGAGTGCCAGGCCGGGGAGACAGAGAGAGATAGTTTTGCAGGGTCTGGCCATGGCGCCGTCCTCCTGTCCAGCTTCCCAGTGAGCTAACATCACAGGCATGCACAGCTGTGTCCGGTGGGTTCCAGCTGGCCTGGGAACCGAACCCCGCCTCCTAGCAGCGGAGCTACCTGGGTGCACTGAGGCTGGACCTCCTCCTCCTTTTAATGTATGTGAAATGTGCAGAGACGTGTAGGAAGCCTTGCTGTTAAGGAATTTGAGCATTACGGAGTATGAGTGCCCCCCAGCCCGCCCCATTGCAGGCTCTCCCCACCCTGCTGTAGGTGGTGTCTTCCCTGAGTTTTCCACACATTTGCAGTCCAATGCGAGTGTGTATAAAAGCATAGGCTTTGTTTTGTTTATTTTTAAAGAATTATTTTATTTAACTTTATTTATTTTCATTTGACCAGAGAAGGACAGAGAGAGAGAGTGAGAAAGCAAGCCGCCAGGTCCAGGACTCGAACTGCGGTTGCCAGTGTGGCAGTCCAATGCCCTTAACCACCACACCACCTGTCAGCCCCATTTATTTATTGATTTATCAATTCATTTGTTGTGATTTTTGAGCTGCCGGGTCTGGGACTCACTGTCAAGGACCACATGTGTCTCAGAGCAGTGTCTCCAGGCCCTGTGGACGTTGGCCCCTGTTGTCACACTTGTGCGCGACTCTCTGGGCTGGCTTCCGGGGGTCAGCTTCCTGCCAGGCGTGCCTCGTTGACCTGACGTGTTTTCACTCTGCAGGCCAAGAACAAGGAGACGGGTGCCCTGGCCGCAGCCAAGGTCATTGAGACCAAGAGCGAGGAGGAGCTGGAGGACTACATTGTGGAGATCGAGGTCCTGGCCACCTGCGACCACCCCTACATCGTGAAGCTCCTGGGCGCCTACTACTACGCCGGGAAGCTGTGGGTAAGGCCCGCTGCGACCCCTGGCCCGGGGCTGAGCTTGGCTGGACCCCGGTCTTCAGCCCTTGCTCAGCATCCTGTCTGAAGGCAAGGCCAGGGCAAGGAGAAGGGAGGTGGGGTCTGAGTTCCCTGCCCGCCCCTTCCCAGGGGCCTCTCCCTCCTGGGGGGAGGGCAGCCATTAGAGCAGAGGAGCTCGAAAGCGCCCCCATCTGGCCTCGAATCCCACTGCTGCTGTGGGACAGCCCTACGTACGACCGGAGCCCCTTCATGGGGGTCGTAATCACACCAGCCGACAGTGTTGGAATGAAGTGTCGGCCACAGTGCCCCGTCGTCCACAGTGACAGCAGCGACCTCGGACGCCTGCGGCATGGCTGGGACTGAACCTGGTGTATTCTGTGTTTTCAATCTGGTAACCCAGACAGGGACTATGTGACGAGCGGGTGGCGTGGACGAGGTGGCTGTGCTGGACGAAGGCGGGGTGGAGCAGAGCTTCATGACGCTCCACAGGATGGTGGGCAGTTAACACTTCTGAACTGTGGGAGTCAGCAGGGGGCGTGGCGGTTCAGGCCTTGGATTCCCACGTGGCCGACACAGCTCGAGTCCCAGACCTGGCAGCTTGAATTACACTGGGTGCATGTGTGTGTGCGTGTCCAAAATCTCAGGAGAAGAATGGACGAGAAGGGACTGCGGCGTGGCCATCCCCCCGGGGCTGACTTCTCACTTCCCCTCTCACTGTCTGTCTCTGTCTCTCTCCGGTGAGTGCATGCGTCCTATGACAAAACAAACAAACAAACAAACACTGAACTATTCTGAGTTGCGTATTTCTGGAATTTCTCACTCAACAGTTTTGAACTGTGGTTGGCCATGGGTACCGGGAACCGTGGGCAGCAGACAGAGGATGGAGGAGGGCTGCCATGGTGACGTTTTGTAAAAAGCAGCACCTTTTTTTTTTAAAGGGAGATTTTTCTGATAGGGCGTGTGTGTGCACTGGAGAGACAGACAGAGACAGAAAGCGAGAAATCGCCCCTTAGGGGGATGGCCACACTGCAGTCCCTTCTCCTCCATTCTCCTCTTGGGATTTTGGGCATGTACACACACGTGTCCGGCATGAGTTTCAAGTCTCTGGGTCCAGGACCCGAACAGGCGGTTGACTGTGTGGGGAGTCCAGTGACATAACCATTTTGCCATCTGCTGGTCCCAGGCAGCACCTTTTTAGCACTGGTGGCAGCACTGAGGAAGGGGCGACCTTAACGACCCCCCAGTCTCTGTCGGTGTTGGTCTGCTGTGCCGCGCACGGCTGGCCAGGTATAACCCGGGCCCCCTTCCCGAAGCCACACCAGCCTCTGCCTCTGCAGGGGAATCTGAGTGCCCCGGCCTCCTGGGACGGCCTGCCCGCAGACACGGCCCTCCGTCGACCTTCTAGTGCGAGTCTTCAGTTTGCAGAACCCACTGCCTAGAACGTGCAGCTCTCCAGACTCCTCAGCCAGCTTCATCAGTAACACATTGTCCCCAAACTCCGTCCAGCCTTTCACGATCTTTTGTTTTATTTGCTGTAGCATGTGTGGGTCATCAGAGAGAGCACGCACCCCCGGGTGGGATGGCCACACCATAGTCCCTTCTCCTCCATTCTCCTCTTGGGTTTTGGGCCTGCATGCACGCACGCACATGCATCCAGTGTGTTTCTGAGGCTGCTGGGTCCTGGACTCAAACCACGCAGTCGGCCATGTGGGACTTATCTGCCTTAACCACCTGGCCACCTGGCTGGCCCACATCGAGCTGCTTTGTAAATTCTTTTCTTATTTTAAAGAATTATACTATATATATATACACACACATATATATGTAGAGAGAGAGAGAAATCAGAAAAATGAGAATATGTGGAAAAGAAAAAGGGCTTAAAACCAGTATTTTATAGTAGAGATAGCCGCTGATCACATTTGGAATGTATTTTTCTAACACACAAGTTTTTTTTTTTTTTTAAGAATGATTTATTTAATTCCATTTGTTATTATTATTTTTTAAATTTTACCAGAGAGAGAGAGAGAAATGGAAAGTGAGAAAGCAAGCCACCAGGTCCGAGACTCAGACATCGGTCAGCCATGTGGGAGTCCAGCACCTTTAACCATCACGCCACCTGCTGGCCCCCACAGGTTTTTTTTTAAGAATTATTTTATATATTTAATTGTATTTGCTTATCATTATATTTTGAAATTTGACCAGAGAGAGACAGATTGAGAAAAAGGGAAAGTGAGAAAGCAAGCCGCTGGGTCCAGGACTTGAACCGCGGCTGGCCACATGGGAGTCCCGTGCCTCAACCACCAAACCACCTGCTGTCCCACACACACAGTTTTCCAAAGGGCGAGCTTATACCATACTTCTTACTTCACCTTTCTTTTCAAGATATATTAAGAACATCTTTCTGGGGCCAGCAGTTGGCGTAATGGCTATGTCGCTGAACTCCCATGTAGTTGACTGCGATTTGAGTCCCAGACCCTGTGGCTTAAACTCATGCCAGGCACGTGTGTGTGCGTGCCCAAGATCCCGAGAGGAGAATGGAGGCGAAGGGATTGAGGCATGGCCGTCCCCCCTGGGGACCACCCCTATGCGATCTGACAAAATTAGCGTACTTGCTATCAGAATTTGTCGTCTTCGTAAAATCCTTCAGTGGTTTCTTATCCCCCTTCTGCTTTCGAATATCAGATGGTGCAAGTCAGGGAAACAGCAACCCAGATACTCTGACCGCTGCTGTCCAATGGAAATAGGATATGACCGCCTACCTAACCGAAGTTTCTTTCTTTTTTGAGAGATTTTTGCTATAGGGCACGTTCACTCCCAGGAGAGACTAAGGGAGACAGAGAGACAGAAAGCGAAATCACCCCCCAGGGGGGATGGCCATGCTGCAGTCCCTTCTCTTTCATTCTCCTCTTGGGATTTAGGGCACACACACATGTACCTGGTATGAGTTTTAAGCTCCCAAGCCCGGGACTTGAACCACAGTCAACTACGTGGGAGTCCCGTGATGTAACCATTACACCATCTGCTGGTACCCTGGAAATTTTTTTACTTTTAAATTTTATTATTTTATTTAACTGTATTTATTTATTTTAATTTGAGCAGAGAGGGAAAAAGTAAGAGAGAGAGAGAGAAAGTGAGAAAGCATGCCGCCAGGTCTGGGACTCGAACCGTAGTCAGCTATGTGGGAGTTCAGCGTTCTTAACCACCATGCCACCTGCTGGCTCTGTCTCCTGAAAATTTCTTACAGCCACATTTGAAAAGCAAGGAGGAGGCAGCTGTTGATGTGGCTACGGAGCTGGGTCCCACCGGGCTCGTTGTGGGTTCAGGAACATACTGGGCTGTGTGCCCCAAATCCTGACAGCAGAAGTGGAGGAGGGATTGCGGCGTGACCGTGCCCCACCAGGGGTGCCTCTCCCTCTCCTCCTCTGTCTCTGCCTTTCTCTGGCAAGTGTGCAAACCCTCTGGCAATTAAACAAATAATAAAGCAAAAAGAAGCTCTTAAATCAGTTAATACAATTTATTTAACCCAGTATATCAACAATTTTATCATTTTAGCATATGATCAATATAAAAATTGCTCAATTTTCATCTGAAATCCTTGATCTGCACTTATCTATTAAAAAATGTTTATTGTAGAGTACATGTGCTTACCAGAGAGAGAGCGGGAGGGAGTGAGCACGCACCTGGGATGGTTACACTGCAGTCCCTCCCCTGCCATCCTGCTCTTGGGATTTGGGGCACGCTCGCACGTGTGCCCAGTGTGTTTTTCAAGCTGCGGGGTTCAGGACTGGAACTGCAGTCGTCCATGTGGGATGCAGTCGTTGTAACCACCACACCACTGGCTGGCCTTTGATCTGTATTCAGATGTCATAAAATGTGCATTTGAAAAAAATAGAGTCACAGCCCCAAGCTGTTCGAACACCCTTAAACATTTCCTAGTAACTGGGTCGCGTATCAGTAGTTGAATGTAGGTTGATTAGAAGTGGCTATCACGGTAACTCAGACACGCTGGCCACAGTGCTGTGTTTGGTGGCCACATGTGGCTGCTGGCTGCTGCACGGGACACGGCTGACCACGCAGCTCCCAGTGACACCCAGGCCTCAGCGAGGGAGCGCAGGAAACCCGGGGCGACCTCATGCATTTCCTCTAACTGCCCCCCTCCCCAGCCCAGCCCTCGCCAGATTTCCGTGTTGGGGAGTCCCTCAGGGCTGCTTTCTTTTCACTGTGCATTGTGGGTGCCAGGAGTGCTAAAGCCCTGTTTTGTATAGCTCTGGCGTGTTTCTGGAGTGACACCGCCCTGGGCTGTTTCAAGGTGCCACCAGCTCGATGTCGTGAATATGGAGTTGGGAAGGTCCCCGGCCTCACTGGTGGAAACAGTGTGGAAGCAGATAAAGAAGTCAATGAGAAGTGCTGGCTGCAGGCACGGGCACTAGCTGGGGAGAGAAAGAGAGGAAAAGTGAGAAATAAAGATTTTATTTAATATTATTACTATTATTATTATTACTTTGGAGAGGTTTTTGGTATAGGGCACGTGTGCTCGCCAGAGAGAGACAGAGAGACAGAAAGCGAGAAATCACCCCCCAGGGGGGTTGGCCACGCTGCAATCCCGTCTCCTCCATTCTCCTCTTGGGATCTTGGGCACGCACGCCCACGTGCCCAGCGTGAGTTTAAGCCACTGGGTCCAGGACTCAAACTGCGGTCAACTATATGGGAATCCAGTGACATAGCCATTACACTAACTGCTGGTCCCGCTTGGCGTCTATGTCTTTGTCTCTAAAATGGGTTGGTGACAGTGACACCTAGCTCGTAGCACCGCTGTAAGGATGGAGTGAGGCGCGGCGTGTGAGGTGTAGCTGTGTGTCCAGCTCGGAGTGGGTGCCAGTGGGGTCCACCTGCCCTCTTCCTCCAGGTCACCCCTTCCCATCACCCTACCCTCCTGCACCCACCCTGCCCTCAGCTCTTCTGGATTTTCTGCCCTTCCTCCTACTG